GTCAAAAAAGCCCGGTCTAGATAGGGTTGAACCATCCTCTGAAAAAATTGGTTGTCCTGCGATGAGTTCTGCGGGCCTCAAAAACCTAGTCATGATGACCAAAAAAAGCCCGATCTGAATAGGGTTAAGTTAACCTATTAATTATTACCTGAATATACGGATTCCGGACTTTTGTCATTGGCTCATTTTCTCCCTGTTTAGTAAAGTGTTTGTACTGGTACTGGACACGGGGACTACACTGACAGGAAATAACTAAGGTCAAAGAAAGTTCATAAGAAGTATTATACTATTTGCTGCTATATACACGTCTTTTTTTGTCATGGGAGCCAAGTATGGAAATTGCATAGACTGAATCAGCGAGAAAATCACGCGTGTGAGATATTCAATACATGTAACAATTGCAACAGGCGCTTATTCTATATCATTTCCAGACATCCTTTCGCCCCAAGATTGTACTGACGTGTTCGCACTCGGGATTCGGCACAGTCATGTTTACACCATCGGCCACCCTCAACCATTCCAAGCCTACTGTGACATGGTCACTAATGGCGGTGGGTGGACGGTCATACAGCGGCGACAGGACGGGTCTGTACCGTTTAACAAGACTTGGACTGAGTACGAGCAGGGGTTCGGTAATCCTAGTGGAGAATACTGGCTGGGATTGGGGAACATCCACAGCCTGACGACACAGAAACAAAACGAACTGTACGTGTACCTGGAAGACTGGGAAATAAACAGCCGGTTTGCGCGGTACAGCACGTTTTCTGTGGGAGATGCCAGCAGCAAGTACACGGCAACGATCGATGGGTACAGCGGGGATGCTGGTGATAGTTTGGACCCGCCGACTACACGTCACAGCATCAACAACAGACAGTTTTCTACAACAGATCAAGATAACGACGGTGTCAGTAGTACCGACTGTGCGGGTACATTCGGACAAGGAGGCTGGTGGTACACTCCAAGTTGTGGTTACGCCTTGTTGAACGGACAGTATCTGACAGGTTGCTCAGTACCTTCAGCTTCCTGCTCCAGTGCAGATGGAATCGTCTGGTACACTTGGAGGCGTTACCAGTATTCCTTGAAGAAAACGATCATGATGATCAGACAGGCTACTTCTTTTGGTACGTGTTCGAAATTCTACTTTGAACTTTGTGTATGCGTTATTACTATCATAAAATGAAGATTGTTTATAATTTAAACTTTCTTCAGGACAGAAATATTATTTTGGGTAGCATACTGAGAACTCTGTGTATCTTTCGTTTAAAATTGGATTTAGTCCATATGATATAGTGTTATCAATGATATAACACTAAAACTTTTGGTAGCAACACAGTGTCGAAAAGCCCCTGACGTCGTTGTGATATTGTGTCTACAAGAGTTTGGCAATTGAAAGATCAGAACAACAATGCCTGTCGTTATTGTTTTTTTACAGTCTCATCATTCAGACCGTGCCAGAATGGTGGAGCCCTCACGTCAGGACCTGTTGAGTCAGGACTATATATCTGCACATGTGCACACGGATGGTACGGTGCATTTTGTGACCAGGGTAGGTCATCTTTCTTTTGCATACAATAAAATGGCGATGTTCTGGTCTACTAGTCAATTTTGTAATGTAAAGTGTCTGCATTCTGACAAACTTGACTTACTCTTTATAATTAAATTCAAGCACATTTAACTGGAAATCCACCTAACACTAAAACGTTAAAACTTTTGGTAGCAAAAAGTGTTGTATAAAAATATGTTGTATCTTGAAAATTTTCTTTACTTAGCTAATTACTCATTTTTTTAAAGTTCTGAACACTTTATTACTTAAGGGATATCTGCAGCCATTTCTATTGATAATGCGCTGTTGTAGCCAAAGACGCCGTAACAAAATACTTAAGTGTCTCCAGAAAGTCCTAAAAGACAGAAAATGACTTACTGTCTCCAGAAAGTCCTAAAGACGTGACAGTGAGCGTCACCACAGTGAACTCTACAACCCTCCACGTTACCTGGACGGTAGGAGTATCCGGTAACCTCAGCATCATCGACTCCCAAGTACGCTATAAACAGAGTGACACAGAGGACTGGGGATCATGGACGTCAGCTGGAGCTTCTATTGGGGCGGGCGATGTCTACATTCACAACCTACGACCAGGAGCCATGTACGATGTTCAAGTGCGGATGAACACCTCGTTAGGGTGGAGTGATCTCAACAGTGGGACAGGAACTACAGACGAAACACGTAAGAATCATATTTAGCTTTGACAGCCCTTTACGTGATAGTGGCCCCTCTTTAGATATATATAATGTACACAACAATATATAATGTAAACGTGTGTAGCACAGCATCGTGTGTTGCTAGTGCTCCTGCTGTTGCAACCTGAATAGATAAAATAAGAAAGTTGAACGTGCATCCTATATCAGTTTAGTGTGTACCAGAGATAATGTTTCTAGGCCTCTGTATTTTACATTTGCAGCTCCCGGTCCTCCCCGCAATTTGGCTGCCCTACCAATCTCACACAACTCTGTCAACCTGACCTGGGATCCTCCGATAGAACCCAACGGCAATATCCGTAACTACACAGTTCAATATGGAGCATCGGAGTCGTGCTTTGAATATGAGTTTCTCCTTGAAGTTACAACTACGGGCGACATCACCACTACTGTTATTTTAGACCTAGACCCGTATACAAACTATGCATTCGGGTTCGAGCGTCAAATAGTGCAGGAGGAAGCATCTTCAGCGACTGTAACATCGTAAGGACGCTGGAATATTGTGAGTATACCAAATTAAATAAGAATGGCTCCAACCAAAAAAGGTAATAGCCATGCATGTCATTTAAATTCGAGCTGTTTTCGTTTCTAAAGCTACTAAATATTTTTTTTAATCGGGAACAAAACAACAGACCTGTATGCATAACATTCGAAGTTAACAATCATATCTTTTATTATCTTCGCCAGACGTGCATAGGGCCAAGAGTTTTTTTAAACCATAAATGCGATTGCTAATAATAGTTGGTTAACACTCTCTCTTAAGGTTCTATTTGATATAATTCAACCGATATTATTGTTAGGAAAGAGCCTATTTGTCCATGTTGTTTGTGACAGCGTCGTTACTGCATTGGTAGAAATAAGAGTGGTGTATTAGCTTTCCATTCTAAATTGATATAACTTACATGTTATAATGATTACCTTACAGACCAACCTGTACCTGTTTCTGCTATCGTTGGCGGCAGTGTGTCTGCTCTGCTGGTGGTTATTCTGGTGACAGTGGGGATAGTTTGTTATAGGTAAGTAAAGACTCTATTCACATAATATAGATAGCAAACATAATCTATTAATGTGTCTCATAACTAAGCACTTTGTACAATGACTGGTACAATCATGTTAAAGACACCCTAAGCAATATCTGGGTAAAGTCAATGTTCTGATCATTCTTTTAATGTAATAACTTCAGTAGGCCCTATTCCATAACATACTGATATCTATCTGTGGGGAAAATCTGAATGTCTTTGAAGGAAAATGCTTGCTTGTTTTGTATCTCTGGCTGGTTCTAGCTACATATTAGTGGTACCCACTCTCACATACATGTAGATTGTTGTGTGTCTAATGTATTGTGCTATGTTAGTACATTTTTATTTAATAGTTTTTATTAACCTTGTATATTTATGTCAGTTTGTTTGTTAATTATCCTTGGTTTCGTGGATCACTTTTGTATCTGTACTTGTTGTGTTTGTTTCATTGTTTTTTTTATGTATGTATTGTTTAGTTAAAAGACAATAAACGTTTAAAAACATATTTTCGTATTGCCATCGTAAAATTGTATTTTAAAGAAGAAGGAACCACGAAGGCGACCGGGACTCTACCGATCCTCAGATAGACCTGACGATAATCACGGAAAACGAACCGTCCATAGATGAATCAGTTGAGAATCCTGCAGCAATAGTAGAAGACCTTTCACCGTATGACACGGTAATAAACTTTGATTCACACTTTCTTCCATTTTAGAATTACATTTACTGCTTGTATACTTAGGGCTTTTACTATGTGTATACAACTGAAATGGTAACTTTATCAATATACATTGTCACCGATACACCGATCAATATTTTAGTTTTCTAGCACATTTGTCCCAAGTTAGGTTTGGCAGACGTTAACGTCTAGCCCAATGTAATTCACGTTGTGTATGTACTACAGACTATTTACAGCATCGTAGACCTCGTCACTGTTGACGACGTAGTGGACTTCCTCATAGCCAAGGGGCTTGGCCAGTATGCTGCAGCATTCAAGCGTAAGTTGAATTATTCGATTTCTTATTCTAATCATATTTATTATTACTTCTTATACCGAAAAAAGGATACCTTTATTTCTACAGCTACAAAAAAGTGTTTAATGGCAAAATTGGATCTCTTAGTGTGCACCTGCGAAGTTTGTGTGTTACGCCTAGTGTCGGCGGTTATGCAGGCTATACAGGTACAGATGTTGATGTGAGGAATGGTCTTCATCAGGGCACAAAGTAGACGGGGAAGGAGCCATGTCGCTAACCAGTGACATGCTTGCTGAGCTCGTTCCTCAGATCGGGCCGAGGGCAAAACTGCAGAAGTCCCTTCAAGAGCTGAAGGACAATCAGGTATCATGGCTTCTTTACCTCGTCAAGATGAAGATGTTGGGTTTGTGTTGCTAGGTCATGTGCATTGTGCTTCAAACAATGAGTATTTCAATTACGTTTCATTGAATTGACCGTAAATGTTCCGATACAAATCTGACATTGAAGGTGGAAACAGGGCGAGAATGTTTTGGACTTGACTGTCAGTAAGAATGAAACGTAGAAGGAAAGCACCTCCCTCTGGCAGATGAGCTTGCAGATGTTCCCCGGAAAGTAGCTCGTATGTACAAACCTGTTGTTAACATTTGACTTCTAGGAGTCTGCTAAAGGAAGCAGACCACTTCACCCTGGCTGGGAAATCTCCCGTTCTAGCCTGAAGCTCGGTAAAATCCTGGGGAAGGGACAGTTTGGAGAAGTTCGTATGGGGGAGCTGAGGAAGAGAGGCATCACCCAGACTGTGGCGGTTAAGACACTGAAAGGTGCTGTTTTTAGATGTCACATATGCCCATAGTACTCGTATAAAGTATAATAGTATATAGGAGAGAAAAAAATAAATGACTTATAAATAATAAGAATATAATTATAAATGAATTATATAGAGAGGAAGGTTATGAAACCCTTCATGATCTGTTTTTCATTATGTTCATTTTGTGTTTCAGCTCACATCTATGAAACGTCAAATAGAACTTGAAATAGCTAGTTTGGTTTGGTCAGTTACAAGCCGTCAGTAAGACTATTACTTTATAAATGACACATTTTATGTTTGGAATTTTTTTATGTTTTCTCAGCTTTCTCACAGGAAAAGGACAAAGAGGACCTCATTGGAGAGCTGGACATTCTGGTCACAGTCGGTCGTCATGACAACATTATCAGTCTGGTCGGTGCATGCACGGTGGGAGGTAAAACTCAAATTGGCTTTATTCTTGTATTTGCAATTGTAAAGTAACTTTCACATGCATGTCATGTTCACCTTCAACAAAGAACGATGGCCCACTTATTTATTTATCCATGGGTAAAATAAATTACATGAACATTCCAATTTCAAAGAAAAAGTAGCTCAAATTATGTGCTCATGCCCATGCGACAGGTAACACGATTGTTGTCCTGTAAGTTGTAAAAGGTCTTTTAACTATCTTGTCTATATAATGTCAAAATATTTGTGAAAACGATCCGCCTTAGGTCCGCTGACACTTGTGGTTGAGTACGCACCCAACGGATGTCTGAAGGACTGGCTGAGAAACAACCGTCCTACGGAGATGAACCGGACAGACAACAGAAACAACGGGATTCTGTTGCCGATGGAACAACTGATCACGTTTGGTATAGACATAGCAAATGGGATGACTCACCTGGCTTCCATGCAGGTACACATGTATAGAGCATGTTATTGTCTCAGGGGGATTTTGAAATAGACAAAGTACGGCGGGTTTCATGTTAATTGTTTTCTCCAGGGTAAAATGCACTCGGGTAATTTCTACTATTACAACATAAGGCGATTAGCGTGCTTTGAAATTTAAGAAAAATCACTGTTTCTCACTATGTGAGACACGTTCTTTTATGAAACGTTCTATTTCGTCAATTCAGTGTGTCCACCGTGATCTTGCCGCCAGGAATGTGCTCCTTGGGAAGGACCTGACGGCCAAGATCTCAGACTTTGGTCTGTCACGGGATATCTACGAGGAGTCTGAGTACGTCACGAGCACACAGGTAGATATCCATCTACAATAACAAGAGCAAACATATACAGCAACTCCCCTACTCCATGCATGATTTTACTCCATAAATCGTAACAAAAACCACATCAGTATCTGATTGCATTTACCATGATGTCGCTATTGAGCACCTGACTCGTAGACAATCAGACAAAACACTAAATGTTACCGTTTTCGATATCTTTTATTAAACCCATTTGTCTTGGATGAATGGACACCATGCAATATCATATTAGTGATATGTCTCTCAAAGGAAGGCTAAAGACATCATGTAAATGTGATCAATTTAAGCTTGTAAGCGAGATGATAGTATCACGCCCAAAATCGTATTTCGTTGCGTCATAAGTCATTTACACGCAATGCATTGCAGTGGTGTACATTGTTGATTGAATGTAATGAAATGTCTTGAATTGAATCTCATATGTGATAATGAGGTATCGAAGAGCCAATGGATTAGGGTGATGTATAGCAGGTACAAGTCATTTGGTGAGGTCAACAATCGCATGTGTTCTTAACATTGTTATTTCCCGTTCAGAGCCAGCTACCCATCCGGTGGATTGCATACGAGTCCCTATTCTACCAGGTGTACACCACCCAAAGCGATGTGTATGTATTATACATATATGGCAGTTTTAGCCATCTATAACACAGTAAACATTTAACCTCCTATGAAACAGGTCTAAATTTTTGTGGTATTGCCTACATATTATCTCCATATCATTACTTACTCTAGTGTATGTTCATGTGGGTATGACTGTGTTTTCCGTGTTTCAGATGGTCCTTTGGAATCCTCATGTGGGAGATCATGACAATGGGTAAGAGTGCCGTATGTATAGTTTCATGGAATGTTTAAACATTGGAGGCACATTTGCTGGTGTGGTGACACAGGTTATACATGTAGTTATCCCGTCAAAATCAGCGAAAAAATCTGTTATTACATTTTCTTAAAATCAATCATTAACTTTTAACCATTGTATAAGCTGTTCTGTGACAGTTCTTCCGAGATGTCATACATATTAATAATGTGTCACATCCATACATGTGTGATGACCACAAATGCCATATATACAGATTCCTTACTTATTAATTTGAAGTAAACAACAGCCTATGAATTTTCCCTTCCAGGTAAACAGCCGTACGGCAGGATGACAGGCAAAGAGCTTATGGAGCTTCTCCCAAGTGGCTACAGGCTGGAGAAACCCGCTCTATGTCCTCAAGATGTGTAGGTCTGCGGACTTGTATTCAAGTGTGTGTGTGTGTGTGTGTGTGTGTGTGTGTGTGTGTGTGTGCGCGCGCGTGCGTTTGTGTGTGTGTGTGTGTGTGTGTGTGTGTGACATGAGGGATTAGTATATATAAATTTGTACTGCTACGTAAAGTTACATAACACCCTAATTTGACTAACTGACTTGTTTCACTGATGTAAATATTTTGTACCGAACAGTTACGAAGTGATGAAGAGCTGCTGGGAAACTCTTCCTGAGAACAGACCAACTTTCCCGGAGCTAAAGGCAACTCTGGATCGGATTATTCAAGATCACAAGGTAAAGTTTTACATATGAGGATTTATATTCATATTTATTTTTTTCTGTTTAAGATCACAAGATAGCGTTTTATATAAATGCATCATTTGTAGCGTTGTGGGAAAATGACAGCGATGAGGCGGAATTCAACCGGTTTCGACTTTATTCGTCTTTTTCAAGAATAATTATACATGTATAAATTAATTAATTAAATCTTATAAAATAATTAACCTTTAAATTATCAAATGGTAATTAAGGGTATTATTACAAAAACTACCGTTTCCACTATCTATTTTTTTCTTAAATTGGAAAGATCAAAGAGTGTTGTTTACCTGTTGTTTCCTTTTGCAGACGTATGCCTCATTGCTAAATTAGGAAACTACAAGGGAAGAGAGCGAAAGAGGAGAATCTTTTTGCCAAGAAGGAAACATTATATATTCTTATTTGTAGATAACGTAGGACCAGAATACAAGGCTTGTTTGTTGATTGTAACCAGGAATATGAAGTATACGGAATTTAGTTTAACTGAACTAAATCGTACATTGCGTACCGAAGATATTAATAACAAGAGTTCCACGATCTCATACCTTCGGCAAAAGATGTTAACCCTTCCGTTTGACGAATTATACAATTTTAATCATTTGCATGGATTACATCAGTTGATAATATTCTCCACCAAACGACAGCCTTATCTTTACAAAAAAGGCTATTCTAGCACTTCTTCATAAATTATGCAAATGAGGTCATAACGTGAATAAATTCTCTTCATTGATGTTTAGCTCCAACTAACTTCCAACTGTGAAATTATAACAATTTTCCATTACTTATGTAAATTAGGTCCTCATTTACATAATCTATATGCTCAGATGTTTTTCTCGTTCTCAATTACATGTCACAAGTGTTTCATAGTCCTATTATCAAATGAAGCAGATTTACAGAATTTCCTCATGAATTCTGCTAATTAGCTCCTGATTTGCATAATTGTCATCTGATTATGTCAAGCATCACGTTAGCTACCTACATACCAAAAATCATGACAATCCGTCAACCGGTTCTTAAGTTATCGACCTTCGTAGATTTTTCAAGAAACGCTCCTGCAGTTCCAGAACAAGCTGCTAGGGGGCCCAAACTCATGTCACTTCTTCCTTAACCCATGATCTACCTACCAACCGAAATTCGTGACCCTAGCATGTCCAAATCGTGAGATATCAAAACCGAAAGTTCTGCTGCAGCACCAACAAAACCCCCCAGGGGGCCCGATATTAAATCATATCTAGGTCTCACCAATTGCAAGACCTACCCACCTCCCAAGTTACATGACAATGTGTATTAAGCTTCTTGAGTTATGCTGTTCACAAACAGACGGACAAACAAACGCTACTGAAAACATAACCTTCTTGGCGTAGGTAATAAAATGTATACATCCAATATTTTTAGTCACAAACACAGTGCATGCTAGTATACAGTACAAGTGCACCGTAAGAATATATTAATGACAATTAGCTGCAAAGAAAACAAACAAACAAAAAGGAAAAAAAAATTATTGCTTATATTCATATTTGGAGCTTACAATTGCTTGTATATATAGCTTATATATCATATATAGGCAGACGACATATATTCCAGAACTGCATGTTAAAGCCACGCATCAATACATACATTGTATCAAGATGTATTAAATATGACGTTATTCTGTGCACTTTAAACTGTTAAATGGATATAAAAACAAAGAAATTTTTTCAGGGTCAATAGACTATTGGAGGTATTAAGTATTGCTAAATGTGGGGCGAATTTGTGAAATAAAAACAACAAAAATTAATTCACTAGAGTTTTGCAAGTGTATATTTATCTACTGTGCAAAATGTAGAAAACATAGCTTAAAATATTTCTTCATTTCTGTTCCCTCCTTCAATCAATTCTAAGCAAACGGGTGTTCAGGCGGTGATTATAAGGCCTCTAAAACTAGAAAGGCCAATATTTGCTTTGGAGCAAATACAGCGATGGGTTCACCACATTTTACGACATGGCAGGGAAAGAATGAGAAACACAAGGGAAAACAATGATTTACATTGATATAACTATAATATGAAGTAACATACAACTAAAACAACAGTTGGATAGCTATTCCCTACTTTATTGGTTAGGATTTTTAATTGCATAATGCAAACTGTTGATTTTCAAAAAAAAAAAACGTTCATGCCCCGCATTCCAATGCTGGAGCAGAAAAGCTTGAAATACCTACCAAAACACTTGAATAAAGACATACTGTCAGTATGAAAATGCTCTGTGCAGGTGTTATTAACAATCACATAAACTATGAAGCCATACATTGAATAAGCTATACATATAATATGATTATCATAACCTTTATTTTTAAAATCATGCCAGTGAGCTAATTGCATGTACAGAGTGAAAGAAAGTAAAGTAAAGCAGTAGAATTTCTGTACTAGCTATGATAGTACTTCATATGATTCGTCCTCATCGTCATCATTCAATGTGGTCTATCTCTTGCTACTAGTGACTGGTAATACCTCTGTAGATTCTTCACACTGGCAGAGTACCGTACTCCTTCTCTCTTGTCAGCTCAATACTTTTGTGACAACATCAAAGTGATTTTAGTTTGTATGTTGGAAAAATACAAAAGACTAACATTCTAAGTTATTGACATTCTTGAGTAAGAACAATCAGTTTTTGAATGTTAAAAGCAAAACAACGAAAATAAAAAAAAATGTTGAAATTGTTAAAATGCAGAATTGTTAAAATCGTTAAAACTGATAAAATTGTTAAAAATTATAAAATTGTTAAAAATGTTAAATTGCTAAAAATATTTATGTCCGATGCACTGGGGTTCGAACTTGCAATGCCTGGGATTGCCGCCTTGCGCGTTTCCAACCGAGCTAACTCGGTGCGATACACATCACTCACTGCATTGTATGTCATAAAAAGTAAACAGCATGGCGGTATCGATCGCCTCAAGCCACCAAGACTTTCAACTATTAACTACGGGGTTTCCTTCTTTATCAGGTTTGCTTTTGAACCACCTTGATGTTACTTAACTATCAACCCGGCTAGCAGAAGCCGCCGGCTCCTTTAATATTACAGCCGCTCCCTGTCCAATCTTCGAAAACTGTCGGGCATGCAAGCCCTCGACGCTCGCCAGGAAGCCGTCTCGCGATGTTCTCAGCAACAACAAACGAACGCCTGTACACTCTACAATTTTGGTGATTCTTCGGAGATCGATAACAGAACCTAGATAATACTAGTTGGTAAAGATTGCGGAAAATTGTTGATACCGTGGCGCGCGCGCCGACGATACACATTACGTACCGCGTAACTTTTTTGTTTACACGCCGGGCGCAGGTCATTGACCTCCAACTTGCGTTGTTCCAACAGAGAAGAGCAAAATGTCTGGCTCCCGCAGAACGTACCGCACTCTCCCGCTGGACGTACCGCACTCTCCCGCAGAACGTATCGCACTCTCCCGGAGGACGTCCCGCACTCTCCCGAGGGAAGTCCCGCACAGCGTCCTGCACTCTCCCGCAGAACGTCCCTCGAAAATCGATGCGTATTTCGTGGCCTGTGCTGTACCTACCAAAACACTTGAGTTCATACTGTCAAAATGGAATGGCTTTGAACAGGTGTTAATTGAGTTAAACCAATCAAATCCAACAGCCAATCAGCAAGAAGAATAGATTGGTCTGCGTCAGGTCCATGCTTGCATGCCCATATATGGGCATACCGCCGAATTCCTTTCTTATTACGTCACGCACGTACGCCCCCACAGTACTTTCCTATGGGGACCGCTAAAAAAGCAACTAAAACGATTGTAAAAGCTTGTATCACAAAAATTTAAAAACGCCTAGGGGTATTTGCCCACTGTACCTCCATACCAAATTTCAGGACCTTAGGCCCTAAAATGAAGAAGCTGAATCCATTTAAAAAATGGCAGGAGAAGAAGAAGGAGAAGGAGAAGAAACATCAGAAAAAGCAATATGGGTTCACCACTACTTTGTGGTGTGGTGAACCCATAAATATTGCATATTGATTTATGGATATACTCGGATGTGAAGCTTTTTCTTAGCATGAAGTCTTTGTATCACAGCTTTTCATTTCTTGCTAACATAGCTTTTTATTTGTTTGTTAGTTCTTTCTACCCAGGAACAAGACAGTTTTTTCTAAGCAAAACCCGGAAACTGTTTGTATGGATCCTGTTAGATTTTTCTTAATCTACTTATCACACTCATCTACTTGTCTATATTGTTTTGTTAGATTTGGGCGCAGAGGTTCGAAGTATTCGAAAAGTAAAGCCAAGTCAGTTCTAAAATAATATAGTCGTAGTTTGTAATTCTACAATTAACTAGATACCATATTTCAAGACAATTGTTGGAAGAAGCAGAATGTAGTTTTGTAGTCCCATTTTTCTTTTTATATATGTGTACTTCTTGTAGTGTTTATAGACATTTTAGTTATGTTTTTATATCTAAAGTTGTTCAAGTTACTAGTATGTGTATGTATGTATTGCACTTGAAAATAAAGCTTTGTGTTTGATTTGCATGTAACATTTGTAACATAATATAAGTAACATAATATTTGTTGTAACAGAACCAGAAACATAGCTGCCTGAAAAAGGCACCTAGAGACATTATTGTATCTTTAGGCTACTCTCAATTTTTTCTAATTGACATGAAGACCGCCATTCAGAATATGAATAATAATAATAAATCCAATCCACATCCACAAAAATGCCAATGGAAAGTACTGTATGCTGCACTGTTTCGAAGAAACATTTCATAGCTAGAATTTTTGTAAAAGCAGGCTGTCCATATTGGGTAAATATTTAGATGGTGCTAGATCAGTAAACTCCAAGCAGGTCCTAGGCTGGCAAAATCCAGTGTTAAATTGCCCAGACAGTACCCAGTCGCCAGAGAGGGTCCAATACGCAAGTTTGATACTATCTTTTGCCATCATGGGATCTGCTTGAAGATTAGTAGATCAGACCGTTTGGCAAGGAGTAATCAGAGTAACGGACCAGAGCTAGAATGGGATGGTGACGTAACTTGGCTAAGTAACGATTTAATAACTTTCTCACAAACATATACACTGTATCTAGAAAACGGAGGGAAATGTTCTGAATTGGCTTGCAAATGCCGTCTTCTTGGTGTTGGGGAGGCATCTTGAGCTCACTCCCTCGCAGTGGTGAAGTGTACTGCAGCCTCAGTCTGAAATCGTAGAAACAATATATGGCTGACAAGAAACAAGAGTTCACTATTAGACAAGAATTCGAAGATCTAACACCTCCATGAAATATGAGTTTTTGTAAATGTTTTTTGTCTCATTGACAATGTAAACAAGGTCGTAATTAGCATAATCTAGTTTAATTTATGATTTTCTAAATTCAAATGACTTTTTTTCGTGTAAAATTTCTGTACTTTGTCATACTTCATTTTAACATGTCCTCATTAATTATGCAAATGACCTCCATATTAACATAATAAAGGCATAGTTGTGTTAACCTTTAAGTAACTTACACATGTCACAAGGTATAAAATTCCCATCATTCACCAATAAGGAGTCACAAAATGTTCACATTAATTATGCCAATAAGGTCATCATTTGCATAATTGGTATCTGCTGGTGTTCCGCCTGCCACAGATTAGATATATTGCGTGTATAACAGTACTATTATATAAGACACTGTAATTATAGAATGTCCTCTTTAATTATGCAAACTAAGTCCTCATTTGCATAATTTGCATTTAATTATGTTCAACTTTCTCTCAGCTACCTACATCCAAAAAAATGATGAAAATATGTTGTTCCTATCTTGACTTA